ATATTGCTATACCGGGTGCGTCTCTTAAGTGGCTCACCCCTATAACTTTTTTATTTTGTCAGATAAAAAAAAACAGATTTGGTATGTTAGTATGTGACATAAATTAGGACTGATTGATATATTCGATTGTTTTTGGTCACTTCCTGTTTCACCGTAAATAATTACAACTTTTGATTTTTAAATGGCATCCTTGGTATATTTTTACTTTATTCGATAGAAAATGACACTCTGAAGAGAATGACATATCATATGTCAACTTTTCACATTTTCGCTTCGAAAAAAAATCGTATTTTAAATTTCAATCTAGAGTGGTAAAAACAGAAAGGGCTTTGTTAAAGACAGAAATTTTTAATCAAGGAGTTTTGGAAAATAAATTTGATCGTTTAATGTTTTTCGTGTCTTGCCCTTTTGTTTTCAAATGGAACAAGGGTGGCTCATTAGCATATTTGGAAAAAGCATTTTTTTACGAATAACTTGATACCACAGACTTGGTATTTCGAGTGAAATTGTCGTTATGAACCGCATGTTACAATTTAAAATAAACCGTATGCAAAAATGTCAGGTTGACATATGATATGTCATTCTATTCAGAGTGTCATTTTCCATCGAATAAAGTAGAAATACTCCGAGGGTGCTATTTAAAAACCAAAAGTTGTAGTCATTTCCGGTGAAAAAATACCGAAAATAATTGAATACGTCAACCAATCCTAATTTATGTCATATACTAACATACCAAATCTCTTCTTTTTATCTAAAAAAATAAAAAAAGTCATAGGGGTGAGTCACTTTTGAGGCGCACCCGGTAGGTAGCACTGAACAGCAATCGTAATAAAATTTTATAATAAAATAGATTAAATAAATAATTTTTAATTTAATTTTAATTTTGTTGTGATTAATTTCATCAAGAATCGACAGATTGACAACTTTAATTTGGCAAAAAAATGAGAAAAAAAGTCAGTGGCGCACATGTATTATTTACAAAAAAAATTCCAGTGGTAACCCACATGCACGTCCCTGGTGAATCTGTTGACACTTTTTTAGTAATAAATTATGTAATAATTATAGTAAATTTTACAGTCAAACTAGTTTATTGAGTAGATCATAGAGTTTTGGGTTCTGAATTAACAGAGTCGTTTTTAAAAAACGATTTTATTGTTACAAACGTTCTCGACAGAGTACAGAGAGTGAAAAGTCTGCTTCGAACCGTGCAGTTCGCTTTTATATGTGACATAATGTAAAATAGGCATTCAGTATTTAATTACAATGAAATAACACTTATTTATACATATAACTCCTCCCCTGTTAAGACAAGAAAATAACGGAGTTATTTTCGGGGTCCTCTTCTGTGGGACTGGAACATGCTGTTCTTCTTTCTTCTTTAAACATGGAAAGTACTTCTTGAGTTGTGGGTATTTTCTGAACACTAGGTATATTGCAATTATTAGACAAATGAAAATAATCGCAATATCGAAGATGACTGGTTGATAGGTTCTTTCTTCGTCTTCTTTGATCGGTGATAGTTCATTGAATTTTTCTTTTATCTCGTATATATCGTCGAAGTTGATTTTCGATAGCTTCGGAGCAATATATTCGAATTTGGACTTTGGTTTTTCAAGATTTTCTAGTTGTACCTCAGGCAGGATTAAAGGTTTTCCTTCTCTTAGTTGAACATCGTTTCTATATGTTCTTGAATCGATGGTCACTTGGCATTCGGATGGAATATTTATTAAAGTTGGTTTCTTAACATTGATGTATTGATTGATTCTGCATTGTGCATATATTCGTTCTTCTTTGGCTGGCAAGAGTAGAACTTCTTTTTGCGTGATTTGTTCAATGACGGATTCTTTTATGTCGATGTGGATCGTTGAGCAGTTGAAGTTTCCGGACAGTAGTTGGATAGTGCATTCGTCTCGTGCATGGAAGTTTTCTTGACAGAAGTATTTTTCTTCCAGGAATGGACATGCTTCTTCCTCAAATTGGTATGACTGGTCTTCTTGTGCCAGGAATGGGTATTTGGGAATGAAAATATTTTGATTTAGGATAATTGGGTATAGGTGGTAAAAGGTGTATTCCTTAGATCTAATTATAGGAACGTGTATAGCGAAAATTAATTTATTTTCAGAAAATGTTACCTGTGTACCCAATAACTGATAATAGGTTAATATATTTTTAAAATTTGGAACTTCGTTATTTTTATAAATTTTTCTTAAGTAATTTAATAGTTCATTTAACTCGTAGCTTGATATGATAACGTTATGTAAGGCGTTCAACTTTGCAAACATAATCGCGTCTTCGAGATTATCGAGAAAAGTAATCAGACTCTGGCAGTCTAGATTAAGTTGCGAAACAATGCCTTGAAAATTCAAGTATGCATTTAGATTTGATATAGTTTTATCAACTGTTTGTTGGAATAGTTTCAGACTTTTTTCTAATTTTTGCTGATTTGTAGTTAGAGAAACAATTGTTTTATTATAATTATTTATTAAGTTTTTCGATAAGGAAATTTGTAAATTAGCTTCGTTTATTAAGCCTTTTTGATTTTGTTCTAGCTTATTTATAGCATTTTGATATTTTTGTCCGTCTTCAGAATCTAGTGTACCGAAAAGCCATTTAGAGGTTTTTCCTACAATATTTACTAATCCACGCTTTGTCCTAATGTGCGGATAAAGATTCTTTAATTTATTTTGTGTTGAATCGATCAAGAATTGCGTTCTTAATAAAGTACTTTCTGATAATCCATAATATGACATATGGTTAGTAACGTTTTCTTTATTACATGATTTTTAATAAGCGAAAAGCATTGTTCTATATTAATTAATTGATTAATAATAGGGTTTATATCTATATAATGTAAAAATGTGTGCTTAGAATAAACTAACTTAGAGGTTCCTAGTTGCATAGGCAAAATAGGGTTTTTTATAGTTTTAAGTTCGATGTCCTGTGACAGAATTGTCTTCGCGTGAAGTACCAGGAATATCAGCAGGATCTGGATCTTCTTCATCGTTGTTTTCCTGAAAATTTGATTTTTTCTTTACCTTAGGTTTTCTAGCTAGGCTTTTATGATATGTTCCTTTATTTGTTATTAATTTAATTTGATCTTCTTTTTCGATCGTTGCCTTTTTAAATTTAGGTTGATCTTTTCCTCTAGCTTTCGTTTTTATATAAACTACATCTGATTTAAGGAATTCAGGTGGATCTTGTCTTTTCTCATTTCGTTTTGTTATAATTAATTCCTTAGTTCTTGCGTTTATACTTTGAATATTTCTATAAAGATCTTCAGCTTGTTCTTTATGTTTTTGTATATAATTTGATACTATTATTTCGTCATTTAAATCGAATGGGTCAGTGTTATTTATATGCCCTTTAATTATTTCAAAAGGTGTATGTTTTGTTACGCTATGAATTGAATTATTATATCCTAATATAGATCGTTTTATTAATTGACTGGGACTAAGATTTGGATGATCACTTTTTAGACATCTATAATGTTCGATTAGAGATGAGTGAAATCTCTCTACAGGTGAGTTTGATGTACTATTTTTCGGTGTTGTATAGTGTATCTCAATTTTATAGAGTTTACAAAAATCTTCTACTTCCTTGTTTTTGAACTCGGTTCCACAATCGGTTGTTATTTTCAAAGGTAAACCGTGATGGGTTATAAAAGTGTATAGATTTTCGATTATCGTAGGACCTGTTAAAGCGTTTAAATGATATGCTTGTCCATATCTAGAAAAAGCATCTATAATTGTTAAAAAGCTCTCATTTGATATTTTAAATGTATCAATATGGATTTGTTCGAAAGGTTTCGATGTTGTAGGTGTTAAATTAAATTTTACGATGGGTCGACTTCGATCGTACTTATTTTTCTGACAAATCCGTTTGCAAGGTCAAGTGTTGTGAAATACTGTGCTCTACCTAATTTATCGAGTATATCGTTAATATTAGGAATGGGGTAGCGATCGTCTACAATTTTTTCATTCACTTTTCTATAGTCGACAACGATTCTCCATTTTTGAACTCCTGACGCGTCCAATTTCTTTGGTACAACCCAGATAGGAGATGACCATGGGCTTGATGACGGTCTGATGATATTTTTCTGTAGCATGTCGTCAATTTGTCTTTGAATTTCGGCTTTGTGTACATACGGGTAACGATATGATTTAGTATGTACAGGTACTTCGTCTGTAGTCCTAATATGATGTTTTACTTTAGAGGTAAAAGATAGTTTATCATTTGGGTGAAAGAATATGTCAGAGAATGATTTACATAGTTTAATTATCTCGCGTTTTTCTTCAGGGTTAAGATGGTCTGTACGAATTATGTTCTCAATATCTGAATTTTTATCGCACGAATTTTGATTATTGATTTTAAAGTTTTCCATTGTAAAAATTTCATAGATTTCTTCGTTAAAAGAGTCTACAGGCAATGGTTCACTTAATGTTATAGAGATGGTATTGTCTGATAAATTTTGAAATTCGATCGGTGCGAAACCGTCTTTCGATGTAGTCAGAATTTGAGGTATAAGTAAAGTATTAAGAGTTCCTGGTCGAGTTATAATTTCTCCTTGAAAAATATTAACTGGAACTTTTTTTATTACTTTTTCATGAGGGTTTACGGAAAAAGAAAAATTTATTTCTTCCGGTTGGCGATATTTGAACGGTATTTCGACAAAATTGTTTATTAATCTTTTATTAGTTAAATTGATATTTAAGTTCATATTTATTAAGTCTTTTAAACCTATAACTCCATCGAAATAATCGTGGAAATCAAATAAAATAAATTTAATTTTATGATTACTTCCAAATTCCGGGAATGAGAGGTCAGCTTGATATTTTGTTGATTTTTGACCAATAGCTGTTTTGATTATATTGGTTGTTTGATAGATACAGTTCGGGAAAAGGTTTTCTACGATAGATGGTTTTAAAATAGAACGCGAGCTTTCGGTATCGATTAACAATTTTAACTTAGGATCTTTTATTTCTACATACGGAAGAGCGTTACTAGAAGAGATGTTTATTTCGATCATGTTTTTCTTTCTTTCTGGGTGGGGTCCTGAAAATTTCCTCTTGTGCAGGATTTTTGTTCCTCAGCAGCTTTCTCGTATTCGGCTTCTTGTTGAAATTCTTTTCTTCCAAACTATGAACAGGGTATTCTTCAGAATATTGGTTTTCGTATTCATCATAATTATTATAATCGGTATAATTATAGTTTTGTTCATAGGGATGCGTATTTGTTGTGTCTTGGTACGCATAATTATTCATATCTTCGTTGTAATCATTAGTAAATAATTCTTGGAAGGTGAAATCTGGTCGTCCAGTTGATTGGAAAGGTACTCTATAAGGAAGATTTGGATATTGTCTATTCTGATATGATTGGATTTGACTATCCCTTTTCTTCGAAGCAAAAGATGGGTTTGCCGAAGTCGTAGACATAGGCTCTGGTTTTGATTGTTGGTGTGGTGGAATGGGCTTTGGCTTGAATACATTTACAGGTGGTCCAAAGACTTCTGTATTTGTTGGATATCTTCTTGGAGGCATTTCTCTTGGAGTAATGTTAATTGGTTGACAAGGCCAAGGTTGTTTTTGGTTAAAATTTGTATTAGGTACATTTTGATTGAATCGATTGTATTGATTTGGGTGATTAAATTGATTTTGATTGTTATATTGTTGTCTGTTATTATTTTGATAGTTAGAATTGTGGTGTGGAAAATTTGTTGCGTTAGAAAAATTATTTTGATTTTGGAAGTTTTGTTGTGCTGGTTTTTGATGGAAATTTTGTGTTTTGTACACTTTGTTTTGTTCGTTAGAACAGCCATAGAGCATTTCAAAATTTTCAAATTCACTTACGCACGCCATTGCATCTTCTAAGGATGTCGGTTTTTTAATGTAAAGATTGTTTCTTAAAGTTCCGCTGCAGCCCGCAATAAATGTATTTAACGCGGTCTTATCATAGTGGCTTATCTGACACGTTTTCTCTAGAGGCGCTAGGCACGTATCGTTACTGATTCTTTGAATTACGTTACTTTTTAAGAGTTGTAATCTGCTGCCAAAACTTAAGAGATGTTCGTTTTTAAACGGTCGCGTTCTCGTCAATTCTTGGATTAAGCAATCCAAATCACGTCTATCTGAGAAACATTGTATTAAAGCGGCTTCTAATTTCGACCAATTATCTAATTCTAATCTGTTTCCCACCATTATCTCGGCTTTTCCTACTAATTTAGACTGTACGCACTCAAAAACATCTGTTTAAAATCCTCGTCTGGTACGGTCGCATATTTTAGTAAAAGTGATTCGCATTTAAATACAAAAGTATTTAATGTATTAGGTACTGTTTCTGTCAAAGGGCTTAATATTTTGTACCTTTGATTTAAAAATATCCCAATTTACAGTTCGCATATTTTCATTTTCCGAAGCACTTGTTCTCGCATTCATTTTATTTATTTCTGTATTAAGTTTTACTGTTAAATTTGATAGTCTCTCTGCTAACTCGTCTACACTCATGAACGTGCTAGTTTTTCATCTACGATCTATGAGCGTAAATTTTATTTTATTTTTATATTTATTTTTAATTATTTTTACTTAATAAAAATGTTGTACTTAAAACATTTTTCTTTATTATAGGTAACTTTTTCTTTATTATTTTACTTGTAAGAATTTTTTACTTTTTTTTTTGTTTTTCGTTTTTCTTAATCTAATGTCTACGATAGACTGCTCCTATAACTATCCCTACTGATTTCCTTAAACAGAGGTATACCAAAAGGGGCAAAAAGGAAGGCACTTACTTTTTTAAAGTCTCTCCTGTCCTTTTCCTGGACTCCGCTCTCTGCTGTCTTCGTCGGGGTGGTTTGCGACAACTTTCTTTGCTCGTTCAGGTTTGGACAGCTAATCCGGATCGATTGCACTATCCTGTCCGTCACTTCACAAAGTTTTTGTTCGAATTTCGCGTTAAAGGGTTGAAACCGCACTTCCCGATTTACCACTGCATGTGACACTCGAAAGGGAATACACGAAATCCTACCGACTGCGCCAGTTTTGGGTTCTGAATTAACAGAGTTGTTTTTAAAAAACGATTTTATTGTTACAAACGTTCTCGATAGAGTACAGAGAGTGAAAAGTCTGCTTCGAACCATGCAGTTCGCTTTTATATGTGACATAATGTAAAATAGGCATTCAGTATTTAATTACAATGAAATAACACTTATTTATACATATAACTATAGTATCTAATTTCGAGACAAATTTGAGTGATTCAAGCAGGGATTCAAGTTATACAGATTGTTAATACTTTTTTTTAAATTCTTGTTAATTTTTTGTTTACTTGTTAATCCAGTATTATAGTTTTCAAAATATTTGCATGTTTTTCATGTCATTTATAAAATCCAGGTAATAAGTAGCCACGATGTAGAATAAAATATATAAAATTACTTAACAAGCAGTCCCTAACGAACTTGAGGCACACCTATTAAACTTGAAAATTAAAAAAAACATTTTTAATTTATATTAATGTTGTAGCATGTTTCTTAAACTACTATGCTTTTAATAATACCTTTCAATATATGATACCTTTCAATAATTGCCTTGCCCCTTTTTATTGTAATTTTCTTTTAAATAATTACAATATTTAAATCTTTTTCTTTTTATTTAGTAGCAGGAGGTGAGCATCGCAATGTTTTTTTTCTTTTTATATTTTTTAATGATTTTCTAAAAATACCTGTTTATTTGGTTTTCAGAAAATATGGTACCGTATTTTTCGAGCCAACACTTTGAAGAAAAAATACACCTATTTGTAAAGCCTTGGTTTTCTATAAAGCGGTACACTTTTTTAGCGGAGTAGCTTGCCGGTACCGGTTTCTAGGAAGCCAAGGCTTGATGTTGCTATTTTGTATAGTGTGTGACTGGTTAACAACCAATGAGAAGATTTATTCTATAATATTAACTTAGAACAGACATATTTGACAGAAGATTTGTTATATTATGGAAATTAATAAATTAGCTTTATTCTAATATAGGGTAATTATTTAGATTTTGATATAATAAAATAATAAAGATCTCTCTACTGACGCCAAATCATAAAAATGAAAATATCTAGGAAAATATTTGTCTAATGGTAGGAAACCTAATAGTTTCTTGTAGATATATCAATTCCCCATTGAATATCGGAATAATATACTGGGTGTTCTATTTAAAATAAAGGAGTAACTTGTTTTTCAATGTGACCTATGTTCAATATAAATTTTGTCTCACCCTCTATAGCTCAAATTTTCGGATTAAATTTTAATTTAAGTTAACATACAACGGTAATTTTAACTAAATATTAAACTATACAAGGTAAATTACAATTCAGGTAGCTGTTATGGAAATTTAAAATTTATTTTTCATTTTCACGAAATGTGAAATATGTCAAAATCCTTACATTTTAAGCATATGCTTTTTTAATGAAACTCCTTATTTTTTTTAAAAACATTTTTTTTTGTTCCTAGAATGTAAAAAGCAATTGATATATAGAGTGTTCCATTACAAAAAAAAAACAACTTTGATGCGTAACTTTTTTTGGAAACACCCTGTAGAATTCTCTATATTTTTGAAAAATGCTCTTAACTAATCTACATATGGTATCAAAATTTAATTTTGATATACTACCGTTCTCCATGGAGCCACAGCGTCGTATGAGAGGCGCCACCCTGTATGTATAAAACACGATATTGTGTTACTCCATGTATCTTTGCTTTTTTTAACTCGATTTTCCACCCAACAATAGAACAGGCTTACAAACACTCTCCCACACTCGCATCGCACAAAAGAAACGCAACAACCCGTATTCTATTTCGCGAGCCTAATTGCATTATTCGAAAACACGTAGCGCCCTCTCGAGGATCGATTGGCAATCGTGTCGGTTGTCTGGTACGTTGTACCCGCTCCCACCTCCGCCTCTGGAGAAGGGACTCGCCCCTCCGGGGCTCTTTAGGGCCGCTCTGGGCTTTGCCCTCCCTCACCTTTTGCCCCTGCTTATAAAACGCGTACCTGGGTACGTATGTGCGGGAATCTTGACGCGTTTTGTTTTGGCACGCAAGCAGATTTCCGATTAAAAAGGATTGGGTAAAGTGTTTGTAGAGCGGGAGCGTAGGTTAACATTTAAGGGTTGTCTACAAATAACGTTTTACTTGTCATATAAGGCGGAAGATCATCTAGAAAACTGACGACTGGTAAATATTACTTATTACAGATAACTATCTAGAAAGATCCTCAGTACGAAAATTGTATGCGTTGCCTAAAATTCCTAAGCCAGATAGATATATGCGCCCTATTGTTTCGGCTGTACGCTCTCCGACTTAGGAAGGGAGTTCAAAAATTTACCTACGAATCGTCTTTCTCAGTTAAAAACAATATAGAGTTCATTAACAAAATTAAAAATATAACATTAGATGGACTTTGGTCTTTGATATATCTTCGTTGTTCCGAAATGTTCCAATTCCACATACGTTAACCTACTTGAATAAGGAATTACTAAACGCAAATGGTCTCGACAATAAAACTATGCTTGAATGTATTGACTTAAATCTCTATTTTTGGCTAATTTAGTCATGAGCAATTTTATGAAATCTCTTAGTTAAAAACAGTATAGAGTTCATTAACAAAATTAAAAATATAACATTATATGATGGTGAAATTTTGGTCTCCTTTGATGTGCGATGATCTTTGTTGTTCCCCAGCGTTCCAATTTCACATACTTTGGGCTACTTGAAGGAATTACTGGACGCAAATGGTCTTGACAACAAAACTGTGATTGAATATATTGAACTTACATCGCTATGTATGAAACAAAATTGTTTTCAATTTAATAACTGTTTTGAAGAACGGGAAGGTGCGGCAATGGGTAATCCATTGTTTCCATTTTTGGCTAATTTATTCATGAGCAGGTTTGAAGTTGAGCCTAAAAATTATGGTTTAAGTATGGTTTAGGTATGTGGATGATTTTTTGCTGCTTTTGACATCATATTAGTTAATATTATTTCTAAATTAAATAATCGTTTTCCTTCCATTAAATTTATCTATGAAATTGAGAACAACGATAGATTACCATTCCTAGATTAGGAATTCCTAGCTAGGTCATCGGATTCAACATGCCTGGGTTTTAATTTATATGGTCAAATGAAGAACGAAAATGAATAAATAACAATGAAATGGTATTAAAATAAAATTAAAATATATGTTTTGATATTTTGACGTAACTAATTTACCTATCTTTGTTTTCTAGCCTACTACTATAATTTTTAAACCTTATAATCCTAGGCGACAGCCTAATATGATTTATTTTCTAAATATCTCCCGTTAGAGAGAAGATAGAAAGTTGCGGTTTGCGCTAATATTTTGGAAATTGTGTGCTCTATTTAACTGTGAAAAGAGAAATATAGCCTCCTATTTAATTTTTTTATGCAAAAGCGCAATATCTGTTATGTCAAACAGCGCCCTCTAGCTGCCACGAAAAAATTTATGGAAACAACATTTATACTGGAGTAGAGATGAGCAGAAAATCGCAAACTGCGATTTAATCGCAGCGATTGTAAATTCGCAATCGCAACCTGTGATTCCTTTCCATAACAAACTGCGACTTGCGATTGAAACATATATCTGCCGATTTTGGATTTTTAGGCAACCAATATTACACCAGTTGCGATTTGCAATCGCAGTGGGCACGCGAACGAAGAGCTGCGAACGAAAATCACAGCATTGCGATTTTCGCTTGCACCGGCGGTGCATCGACACGGCACTGAGAAGCCGAACGATGAGCTGGGAACGAAAATCGCAATATTGCGATTCTCGTACGCACCGGCTGGCGGCGGCGCGTCATCAACACGGCAGTGGGCAGGCGAACGAGGAGCTGAACAATAATCGCAGCTCATCCCAGCATTGCGATTGCAATTTTCGTTGGCACCGGCGCGGCATCGGGAGTGGGCACGCCAACGAAGAGCGGCGATTGTGATTTTCGTTCGCAGCTCCCAACACATCGGCCTAGACTAGATCGCAAAATCACATTCGCAATCAGGGCCCCGTAATCTTTATGAAGCGTTGGAAAATAGGCTTATATATGTTTATATACCGCATATATATATATATATATATATATATATATATATATATATATATATATATATATATATATATATATATATATATATATATATATATATATATAC